GGGGGGGGAGTTATAAATTCCGTGCTGAAATTTCCGTACAACGTAGCGAAACTAGATGCAGCATACGTGAACGCCAGCAACTGCACAGTTGCACCTAGTGCACGATCGAAATAAGTGAATTACAGTCCAGCGCTGGAAGACGAACAGGATATCATCTGAAGTCGTCGACCTGGCGTGATGGCCTAATTGTCTGATAAACGTTACAACACCCCGCAACAAAACTCGGTCCTTAATACTTTACTAAAAATGCTGTATCGGCCATCTGTGAATTCACAATGAGACGATTCAGGAACAGCATCACCAACATAAAATCATAATTGAAATTTCAAAATACTCTGGCCTGACAATGAATCGGTGCTGCACATTCTCCTCGATCAATACGTGTTCATCATAACAGTCGAGCAAGAATAAATAGATAAGCCGTTAGAAGCTGCGAAACAAGACCAACCATTTCTGCTGAGAAGCCAGAAAAGAAGAAAAACTAGTCAGGTCGTATATTTTACGACCAGTCATCATTTTCACTTAATAAAACGGAACAAGATTTACCGTCTGATCATCGTCAAATCGCCCTTATTGTTAGCTGAACGAGAACACATCTACATTCTCATTGTTAATATTGGTCGTACAGCAAGTACTTTTATCAGTGCTAAATAAGAAAAGTGGTTGCCTCCAAGGCTTCACAACATCCAGCTGACTGGATATTAATCTGCTTTGTTCAATCCCCATATAGACATCGATAACGTCGCCAAGAACCACCAAGCAAAGCAGTAGGTCATGCGTTGCACCAGTTGTTTTTGCTGCAAGGGTTGAAACATCATACGCGATATTAAAAAATTTTACGCCATGCATCATAAGAAAACAGGCAAACATGCCGATAGCAGGTCTGAAACAGCTGAGTACGAAAAACCTTTAGTTTAGAAATCAGGTTCAATGAACACCAAAATAGAAAAAATCTTTACAATAGTCAGACGATGAATAAATTTCGTTGAGTAAACTAGCACAGATAATAGGTTCCCCTGTCGCACGGCTTACATCGACCACAGAAACGTATGCAGGATCAGTGAAGACAAATCTCGCATAAAGAGAGACTGCGTTTCATCAGAGAAGTAAACTGCAGTTCGCTGATGCAATGTACCACAGTATTGCGGCGCAATATCACAACCACAATTTAAATTTTAAATTCTAAATCCTGTAAGTTTTTGTTTCCGTAGGAACTGTAACAAAAATCAGCACAATTTATGTATACGATGAATGCGATCGATAAGAAGGGTGAGCAAATCAGATATCCTTCACGAAAATACGTAAATACGAAAACAGCTAATACTTTCAGATGTACGCTAGACTTTCCAGAAGCCCTTACCGAGCTCTGACCTATTCTAAACTGGCGAGATAAATAAAAAACTGATGCCTGATAAGATTAGCTAGCAGTTCGCCTGGCTACCAGATGTCAACGTAAGAGATGGTTTCATACTTTCACAACGAACCGCAGCGCTTAACATTCGAATGCCTAACTTCATAACTCACGTTAGGATTTTGTGGTACAATTACAGTCGGCTGCATGGCTAAGCTAGAGTAAAAACCCGCTGAGATACTGCGCCAGAAAGAAGGAAAAAAAGTGTATCGCCGGAAGAATGCCGGTCTCCCTTCACGTTAATGGTTTGACCATTTTGGCGCCCATTTTCATGATGCGGGGTTGATTTGTATCTATGCCATCAGCTATGCATGCCTTATTTTAAAGGCAGAGTTAACAGCCATGAGGCAAGCGTTTGGAGTAGTGTTCTTTCCACAGAGCGATATTCATTTATGAACCTTCGAAGGAAGGAGGGCGAGTGACCCCGCCAAGGACTGAAACTCGGGGCTAATAGGTTCTGAGTTCGACGCTCTGCCTGCTGAGCAACCCTGGTCTGAAGCATTGTGTGGCAGATTCCTTACTCAAAGGAATTCGTGAATAAAATAAAGATTGCCTT